TACCAGGCTTCTAGGAATTCCTGTGCTTGTCTCTGCTTTGCTTGTCCAAGGATCTTCGTGTTGTTAACAACAAGGGTACACGAACATCAATTGGCTACAAAAAGACAAGACCAATACTCTCTCTCATCTCTATCCACATGGATAAGGAGAACCATCAATTTGACTGGGACAACACGAAGATCCTGGGACAAGCAAAGCAGAGACAAGCACAGGAATTCCTAGAAGCCTGGTACTCCACGAAGAAAGCCATCAACAAACACATACAGCTCGACCGATATACACTCCACTGCGAAGGAAAACCGGAATGGAGGTAATCCAGCTCAAAGGACTCCAGAGTTTAAATAACACGTGGGAAAACACAACGGCACTTCATCGGAGGCTGCACTGATGATGTTACCCAGCAGGGTAATGAAACATATGTGGGAAAACAACAAAATAGCTCGGCGAGCCAACCAACCACAATAGAAATATGTATGCCTACACTTTATTGAATCAACCTTTAACCTCTGATACCCATCATCTGCTGCTCAATTTTTCTTTGCACTGCCACATAGCAGCAGGAACTAAGGCAATTATATGAAAAAACTGCTGGGATCCTAGACCTTGGGATTTGTGCCAACAGCATTCCTGGTAACCCCTTCATGATCATAATGAATAGGCTTGATGGGCTACATAGTCTATGTTCATTTTTATTTCTGTGTTCTGTTTCTCTTTTGCCCCTGACTACTTCTGCACAGCTGGGACTGTAATAACAGAACAATTCATCACAGGAACTAAAGTAGACCACTTTGTCCCTGAATCTTTTTTCATGGCTAATTTGTTCTATTTACCCTGATAATTTTACACAACCTTCTGAGTGAGCTTACTCCATGTTAAAATTAAGCTTTGTCAAAACCAAATTGCTTCCTAATTACATACTTCATTAGCCAAATTTAGTTTGAACCTGGATTCACCCACCAGAGGAGATAATTTAAGAACATCAGAAGTAAGGAGAAAGTAGACCACTTCGGCCTTCAAGCCTGCTCCACCAGTGATTATGGCCAAATGTTCACATTGGCTACCCTATCCCAATATCCCTTGATGCTGTTGATACCCACAAGTCTATCACCATCAGTCGGACATCAGATCAGCCTTTCAGCATCTACTTAGTCAAATCAATCAGAATTTTGTAATTCAATAATATTACCTCTCATTCTTCCATCCCTAGTGAGTAGAATTATCCTATATTCAATCTCTCCTCATTTTCAATTCAGGAATGAATCTAACAAAGCTTTGTTGCATCCCTTGGAGGCAAGTAATTCTTCTTTGGGTGAGGAAACAAAAACTTACACAGTTCCCCAGAAGTGGTCTCACCAAAGCCCTATATAGTTACAGCATGACTTATCCTTTAAAACTCATGCTGAAATCCCTTTCTAATAAAGGCTAATGTGCCATTTACCTTCTTAATTGCTTGTTTGCACTTCCAGTTTTTCTATTTGTGTACACAATCTCATCACTTTATTATTTGAAGTTCTTCAATATAATCACCACTCAACTTTCTGAATTCAAGGAAATACAAAGCCAGTGTATGAAAGCTGCTCTTTCATTTAACTTCAAGTCAAGACCAGGGGTTATTCTGATGAATCCGTACTATATCCTCACCAAGGTAAAGGTATCATAAAGGTGCAGTTTCCATTTAGATGTCCTATCACTACTGTCAGATGGAATACTTGCATACAATTTTATGTAATAGAATTAATTAATGGAATTTAATTATTTGATTAACCCTTCAGGCTCTTTAAGAAGTTACCACTAGAGGGCAATCCATCAGTAAGATGGCTAAAAATAAATTTGTATTTGAAAATTTAATTTAGGTGCATTACTTATTGACTTATTTCAAAAAGAAAATGTTTTGTCAAGTTATTAACACCCCCGCTCAATAAGCAAGGAAAGAAAATGATGAACACTTACCCTTAGTATTTCATTGTAGACTGGATTCAAATTTTTCTTTTTCACTGATGTTTTCCTTTTACCAGTTTTAATTTTATCTGGAAGTAGGTAACTTTTCACATATCTGAAAACAACAAGAGACTTATAACTAGATAAAATTGAATTGATTTTGTGATCATTTCACTACTGGAGGCTACAGTTTAATCTGGCCATTTCACTCACAATTATGATAATGAGAAACCATTTAGACAATCATAATTGACACATCCAAACATATCCCAAAGTTCCCTCCATTTTATTATCTAATTGTTTAAAAATTCCAGAATTTGGGTCTCCGGTTCTTGAATCTCTATTGTATATATTACAATATAGTCTGAAAAGTATGTTTAAATCTATTAAATGTATATTCCCTTCCCATTCAACACTCCTATCACATATTCAATAAATATAAAGTACATTTGTTTCCAGTCAAATACTGAGGATCCAATGCCTCAGAGGGGAATCTGGTGATGCAGTGGTAGTGTTCCTGCCTCAGAGTCAGGAAGCCCAAATTCAAGTCCTATCTCCTTTCTACAAGTATAATAACATTGAAGAAGGGGAGGTCATGGCCTGGTGGAATTATCACTAGATTATTAATCCAGAGACCCAGGTAATATTTGGGAACCCAGATTTGAATCCCATTGTGGTAAATGATGCAATCAAATTCAACAAGAATATCAATAATAAAAGGAATTAAGAGTCCAAAACTGAAATTATTGTCAATTGTTGGGGAAAAACCCAATACGTTTACTAACATCTCACTAATTTTCAATGCCACAGGAGGGGTTCTTATGTGCAGTGGTAGCCTGGATTCAAGTCCCACCTGCTCCAAAAGGTTGGTCACGCAACGTCTGAAAATGTTGATTAAAGTATCTTCAATGCTAGAGGATACCTGGCCTTGGTCAGTAGAGCATCAGAATTTTTCGTAGAAGTGGGTCGGAGACCCACCAGGTGTCTTCTAAGGCTAGTTAATCTTTACATTTAAGCTTAAATTTTTTTTTCAAGGCTTGTATTATATCCTGGTTATGTATTGAAACCAACTTCTATGATTAGAGCATTTTTAGCTAGAAACTATTTAATATTGCTGGTAGCTTCAAAGAGGCAACTATTTACTACAAAATAACTTTAGCTGTTATCCTTGTAGCTGCTTGAGGACCTAAGCTAGCACCTGACATTATTCATTTACTGGGACAATAACCCTTTCATTGATAAAGCTGAAATTGGTCATTTATCTGTCCTCAGGAATCCTTTTATCAGATGAGAACATACAGCGTTCCTTTACAGACCTTCTAGCAGTTCTGTTCAAAGGCACCATTGTATTTCACTGTGTGAGCAGGCTGCTTAGTTTTGCTTAGCTTCTATCTGCCAGCTTGTAAGCAGGCATGGGCAGCTTAATGTGTTCAGGTACAAGTCACCTTACATAGCCAGGTACATGTCACTCCTACAGGACACAATTGCTGTTTGAACCTCACTTTTTGAGAGGCTTTGTACAATGGTAGTCAGAAGGCCTGGATTCAAGTCCCACCTACTTCAAAGACATGTCATAACATTTCTGATCAAGTTGATTAGAAATTCCACAGGGCAAACCACATTCATTCCAGAATAAGTCTAAACATTAGTCTAATCAAAAAAAAGCATGCACGCATAACTTAGGGAAAAATTTACCACTGCTACTAAGGGAGATGTTCTAATCTACACCAGACAGCAAAGAATACAAGCAAACTAGTGGGCACCAGATTGTCATGCTCCCTGGTCATCAGTTATGTAGCTGGACTGGGAATAGTGCATTAAAAGAATCATCTCCAGTGATCCTTCGCAACCTGATTTCATGTAATTCTAGAAACATTTTCCTCCCTGAATGAGGGCGTTCAAAAGGCAGTTAAACACAGTACAGATCTTGGGTCAAACTCAAAGTTTTGTGTCTGTACGGATGTAAACTGAGCATTAAATATGAACAGTACTTATTTTTGTAGTTACATGAGGATTCTACATAGAATGAATAATAAATAAAAGAAAGCTTTACTAACGGATCTGATCGATTTTTCTTCTTTTCAGCAGCAGCTAAGCCTGAGCAGCACACCACAAAAATATGGAACTCTTTCAACTTGTCTACGTAATCCAATGAAAACTGCATCTTCCCTTGGACATCAACATTTCCAATGTCACTGCTGTAGATGCTCATTGTACTTCCACTAACCTGTTAGCATTCAAATAGTTTAAAAATTAAATAAGTAATATTTAAAGATAATTAGTTTTTTAGTTTGTACAAATAAAGTGAACATTTTCTCAGATCATTCATTCATTATTCCTGTAGAAGTGCCAAGACAATTTTGCAGATGTAACTAAAAGTTCTCTCTCATTTTTCAAATTCTGCCACTTTTAGAGCTACTTAGAAATGTTGAATGATGGTCTTTGAATCTGATTTGTGTTACTGGGTTCTTGAAAATAAGTGAGAGGTAAAATAATTATGAAAAAATGAGAAAAGAAAACTGCAAAGCGAGGCTTCAGAATCATTGCTACCATCACCGCCAGGGAAAACGTAACAGATTGGCAAACTACAAAATACATGTAAAAGATCTTGAATACAAACTGATAATCTTGAACAAAACTGTAAAAAGAAATGGGCATTAGTATTAGCGTTTTGTGTTGAAGGGAAGAAAATTGCACTCTGACACAACAAATGAAGGCAGAGAACTGTAGGAATTTAAACAAAGATTCATTCTTCCACATTTTTGTTAGTCAGTCCCTTTATCCAACGGCAAACACCTTATTGACTCTCCAATTCAGTGACTCAATTTGACTGCTCTGTAACTCGATTTAGGATAGAAGGAGTGGAGTGGAGTAAATAAACTACTAATAGACACTTCCTTTTTTTTAATACAATCAAGCTATATATAATCAATCATGCTGGATGAAGAAAACTAATATAGGACCTCAGAATTTTACATGCATGCATCATTAATTGGACAATACGGTTCTCCTGGTATAGTTAGAGACTGCAAGTGTCACCATTTATAATATGAATAAAATTTTGAGGGGCATAGATCGGGTAGAGTTTTTGCTTGGATGGAAGGATAAATGCCAGGGAGCGTATATTTAAGGTAAGGGGTAGAAGGTTGAGGATATGTGAGAAAAAACTTTTTCACCCAAAGGTTGGCTGAAATTTGGAACTCACTGCCTGCAAGGGTGGTAGAACCAGAAACCCTCATTACATTTAAACAGTATTTAGATGCATGCTTGCAATGCTAAGGCACACAAAGATATGGGCTAAATGCTGGAAAATGGGATTACAGTATTTAGATGGTTGTTTTTGGCTGGCATGGAAACAGTGGGGTAAAGTTCCTTTCTTCCTATGCAGTAGATCTTTACGACTCTATGACATCAATAAAACAATTTGATTTTCTAAGGAGGAAACAGAATTACTTTCCTGTTATGTCAAGAGTTAAAACTTAAAACTGACACCTAGGGAGAGTGCAAAATTTCTCCCTTTCCTTCCTATAGTCAGACTTCCATCTTCCAAACAGTACGCTGTGCAGGTCCAACAAAGAGTGACATGGAACAGGCTTTCAGCAATGCATTACATAGGTTTTATTATTTAAATATATTAACAAGTGAACTCAATGTCCTCAAACCTTCCTCTTTGAAAAAAACTTAAAGAAGAAATATGTTTAGATTATGTTTTATTAGCGCCATTCATTGGATTCTTAATTTTGTCTCATAAGTCTGAATTTGACTTTAATGCACTTGGTTCCTTTTTTATCCTTCTCTGCAATTATTTTGTGAAAGGGTTGGCAGCAGTCATCCTGCATGGTTAGTAGAAACAACAATGGCAAATGAGCTGCTATATGTAATACAGTAAATTCATGCAATGGTTGCAACATTTACAGAAAATCCTCTTGGTTTGTGTAAGAAGAACAGCAGAAAAATGCAGATTTAATCTTCCATGGCGTCACATGGTTGGTGGAAATTAATATTGCTGATAAATGCTAAGGGGAAGACAAAAGAGAATCAGAACTAGCTGTGCATGATCCAATGACCAGCTGAAAAATGCCTTCATATAGAAGGTCATTTGCTCATCCTCATCATTTCTGAAACATGTTGAGTGGAGGGTGGGGAATCAATAGAAAAAAGTTATCATTTAACTTTAGACACAAACAACTGCTGGTATGAAAGAATTAAAAGTTACAAGTTTGATGTACTAAACATACTTTTGGCCTGGCAACCAGATCTCTTGTTCCATATGGCACTCTGTGTCTTCCAAAGCCCTTCTGCAAAAATTGTGCCATTGTAAAGTGTCTTCAGGAAAACTGGAGAAGTACTTGAAAAGGGTGGAGGAGATCATGTTGTCATGTTCCCTATAGGGGCCAATGACATGGGAGAAAAGGAAGGCAATCCTGCTTAGGAATCAAGTTTTAAAAAAACACAAGCCCTTGTGGGTTGTAATCTCGGAGTTAAGAACTTGTATCACGTGACAGTTGGCATAATAGGACAGACAGTCCGGAAGTTGAATACACGGCTGAAAGATTGAGGTGGGAAGCAGGGATTTCATTTGGGAACAGGAATCTAATACTGGAAAGGGGAATGCTGTAGTTTTGTTTTAAAGAGTGGACAAATATGAAATTAAATAAACCCAAAGGAAAGTAATTACAGGAAACAAAACAGAAACCGCTGGAGAAATTCAGCAGGTCTGGTAGAAATTATGATGAAAAAACAGGGTTAATGTTTCAAAGGATCACTAGACCCAAAACATTAGCTCTGCTTTCTTTCCACAAATGCTGCCAGACCTGCTGACTTTCTCCAGCAATTTCTGGTTTTGTTTCAGACTTTCAACATTCGCAGTTCTGTAGGAAACAGCTGGAGAATAATGATTATACCATAATGAACTTGACTGTCTCTCTGCCATTTTAAAACAAAATGGCGGACTGGAAGAAAAGTGATCTGGAGAGACGGGAATGGAACTAGGGAATGTCTTTTCACTGAAAAAGCACCCCTAACAAGCCAAAAGATAAAATATCAATGAGAAAAATTAAAAACAGGATCAAGAGAGTTCAAAAGATTTATATTCTGTTTAAAAATAAGAACCACATTAGCCAATGATGAAACAAAGAAGACAAGGCCAACAGTTAGATTAAAGTTAAAAAGAAAAAGCCATACACTAAGCAAAAACAAAGAAAGGATGAGTCACATTTATTGCAGCAAAGAAAGAAACAATTTCACCATCAAATCTTTATCAGCTCTTTTCAGAGCAATCCAGTCAGTCCCATTCACCCAGTCTAACGCTGTAGCAAGTTTATTTCGTTCAAATACCACCTGATATCCTTTTTAAATCATTAATTGTCTCAGTTTCCATCACTCTTCTAGGCAGAGGGGTCCAGGTCATTACCACACACTGTGCAAAAAGATTACTTCACATCCACACTGTATCACTTAATGAAAACCTTAAATCTCTCATCCCTCATCACTGTAATATCAGCTAATTAGACTTTTTTTTAATGCAAGTCCGCCATAATCTTCTGTGCCTCCTTCAGATCTCCTTTACTTCAAGCGTTAGAGTTGGGGATGCTGTTGATGGTGAGGAGGACAGCGTCAGGCAACAGTCTGATATAGATTAGCTGCTAAATTGGGCAGAGCAATGGCAGAAGGAATCTAATTCCAATAAGTGCAAGGTTATGCATTTTGTAAGGTCTAATAATGGAAGGATACGCATAATGTACGGTAGGTCCTTAGGGAATACTAAGGAAAAAAATGGATCTTGGCATACAAGTCCACTGATTCCAGAAGGTATTTGCACAGGTAGACAGGGTGGTTAAGATGACACGCAGGGTGTGGTTGCCTTCAATAGCTGGGGAACAGAATATCGGAGCAAAGAAGTCTTATTCCAACTTTATAAAACATTGGATGGAATTTAGGTTGCCACAATATCAGAAGGTCATGATAACACTGGAGAGGTTGCAGAAGAGATTCACCTAGATGTTGCCCGAGATGAAAACTCTCAGTTGAGGAGAGACTGGATAGGTTGGATTTATTTTCCTTGGAGCAAGGAAGGCTGAGGCAGGAGGGGTGGTGGATCTAATTGAGGTATACAAAATTATGACAGCAATAGACACAGTGGATCGTGAGAATCTCTTCCTTATGGCAGACATGTCTAAGACCTGGGGGCATAGATTTAAAGCAAGAAGTAAGTAGTTTAGATGAAATCAAAGGAATTTTTTATTTTAATAAAGAAATCACCCAGAAGGTGTAAACGTACAGAACCTGCAGCGCAAGGGGGTGGTGGAGGGAAGTACTCGTGCAACATTTAAGAAGCATCTGGATGAGTATTTAAAATGCTAGGACATGACAGGCTACGGACCAAGTGCAGGTAAATGGGATTAGTAGAGTTTGGGGTTTGTTGGTCGGCAGAGGCATGGTGGACCGAAGCGTTTGGTTTACGCGGTATGACTGTCAGAACTAAAGCTTTTCCAAATCAACCTGGTAGCTAAAACTCCTGACCTGAAACTTTTCTGGCAAATCTCTTACACAGCCACTCAAGGACTCTCATTTTTCTCTGAAGAGATGGTGACCTGAACTGAGCATAATCATCTAGGAGTGGCCCAACTCATTCTTCATGAAGTTTTAGCAAAACTTCTGCTTCAGTCCTCAATACCTTTCCTTTGAGGTCCACGATCCCATACATTTTGCTAATACTTTCTCAAAAAGCCGAAAAAGTCCCTGTTTTTTTTGTCCTGATTATTCTTTAAAAACCCTTGTCCACCACTAATGTTAAATTAATCAACTTCTCGTTACTAGGAATATCCTTACACCCCTTATAAAAGGGTGTCATATTTGCCAGTTTCCATTCCTCTGGCACTTCTGCAGTATCTAGGAAAGATTGAAATATTATGGTTGGCCTTTCTCCAACTCCATCCCAAGTCCTGCCATCTTCAAACATTCAAGCACACACGCCTCCAAGACCCACTGCCTCTGCATACTCTTCAGAAATGTGAGGAGATCAAAATTGTCTCCCACTATCCCTCTGCAAAACAGATCACCTCAATTTTCTATATTAAATTCTGTCTAGCATCTGCCTGTCAATTCTACTGGCTTGTGTCATGTTGCAGTTGACTGACATCCTCCTCAATGTTTGTGACACCTTTTAAGATTGGTATCGATAGTAAATTAGGAAATTTTACTTTGTGTTCTAATATTCAGGTCATTTTATAAGTTAAAAATATCAGTGACCTTAGCACTGGCCCTTTCAGATGGCCAATGCCTACCCTCCTCCAGTCTGAGAAACAGTAGCAGTGATAATGTCACTAGATTAGTAGTTCCAACTGACAAGCTAATGCCCTGAGGACATTGCTCCAGATTCTTCCATGGCAGCTGGTGGAATGTAAATTCAATAAATAAATCTGGAGTCCTAGTGAACGCTGATAATGACCATGAAACAAATTGCTGATTGTCATTAGAATAGCATATCTGATCCCTAACATCTTTTATGGAAGAAAATTTCCCATTCATGACAGTGGTGGCCTACACGCAACTCTAGACCCACAGCAATATGGTTGAATCTTCACTGCTGTCTGAAAAGACCTGGAAAGCCATTCATTTAAAGTGAAATTAGGGATGGGCATCACAAATGAACATAAATTATTAACAGAAGTAGGCCATTCAGCCCTTCAAGCCTGCTCCACCATTCAATAGAATCATGGCAGATTTTTGATTATGTTCTGAATTACACATTTCCATTTACTCCCAAAAATTAACTTCTATGCCTAATAAAAATGTTCCACCTTGTAATACTTGTAACAAGATCAGCCAGGTGGATGCTATCCGTTATTATGAGAGGAATTGAACGTATAGGTAAAGATGCAATGTGTCATTTATGCAGGTCATTGGTGAGACCAGATCTGCCACAGTTTTAGCCTCTTTACTTAAAGAAGGATATAAATATGTTGCAGACAGTTCAGGGGATATTTGTTAGATTGATACCTCAAATATGCAGTTATTGTGAGGAAAGATTGGACACGTTGGAACAATTTTCACTGGAATTTGAAAGAGCAAGGAGTGATTTAATTGAATTTTTTAAGATCTTGAATGGACATGGAAAGGACTTTGTCTCTTGGGGGTGAGTGCAGAACTGGGGGACACTGTTGTAAAATTAGGGGTCAACCTTTTATAATAAGGTTGAGTGGAAATTGTTTTTTCTGGGTCTTGTGTATCTTTTTGGGCTATGCCTCAAAGCAGTGGAAGTTGCGTCATTGGATTATTTCAAAGCAGAGGTGTGAAATAACTCCAAGAGGTCGGTATCCCCTCACCAATCAGAATACGAGTTCTCTGATTTGGGCTGTTATTCTGGTCCAATCAGGGAGTCCTGGCTGACAGATAAGAACAGGGGCGTCAGACATCCTGTTCTCTCAGAGCTGGCTCTGAAGGAGCTGGATCAGTGTCAAAGACTCTCCACATGTAAATAATGGGTGACTTGGTGAGGGGATACCGACCTCTTGGAGTTATTTCACACCTCTGCTTTGAAATAATCCAATGACGCAACTTCCACTGCTTTGAGGCATAGCCCAAAAAGATACACAAGACCCAGAAAAAACAATTTCCACTCAACCTTATTATAAAAGGTTGACCCCTAATTTTACAACAGTGTCCCCCAGTTCTGCACTCACCCCCAAGAGACAAAGTCCTTTCCATGTCCATTCAAGATCTTAAAAAATTCAATTAAATCACTCCTTGCTCTTTCAAATTCCAGTGAAAATTGTTCCAACGTGTCCAATCTTTCCTCACAATAACTGCATATTTGAGGTATCAATCTAACAAATATCCCCTGAACTGTCTGCAACATATTTATATCCTTCTTTAAGTAAGGAGGCTAAAACTGTGGCAGATCTGGTCTCACCAATGACCTGCATAAATGACACATTGCATCTTTACCTATACGTTCAATTCCTCTCATAATAACGGATAGCATCATGTTCGCCTTTTTAGTAACTTACTGAACTTGCATTCTAACTTTTTGTTATGCACGCACGAGAACACCTAGATCCCTCTGCACCATAGAATTCTGCAATTATCTATTTCAATAATACTTTTTGTTTTAAATTCTTCTTGCCAAAGCGAGTAACCTCATATTTTCCCACAATTTACTCCATCTGCCAGATTTTCATTTACTCGCACAACTTTTCTATATTGATCTACGTCCTTGTTATGTTTTCTTCACAACCTACTTTCCTACCTAGCTTTGTGTCATCTGCAAATTTCGCCATCAGGCCTTCAATTAAAACACCCCTTGCTCTTCTAAAAGCAGGCCATGACAGGAATGCCCACATTGCAAAAGAGAATAAAGAACATTTGCCACAGCTCACTGTTTTCTGTCCTTAAATCAACATTTTATCAAAACTGACATTAACTTTCCATGACTTATTTTAGTAGCCAGCCTTTGATGTGATACTTTGCTTGACATCCATTCATTGCTATCAACTTTCTCCATTGCACAACCAAAAAATTCCATCAAATTCATTCAGCATAATCTATTTTTTAAAAATTCACATCAGTTCTCCTTTTAAACTGAAACATCTCCAAGTGCCTGTTAAGTTTTACCCTAATTAATATTTCTAAAGGCTTGTCCACTGATGGTATTAAACTGATTAGCTATAGTTATGAGGAATGAATAAGAATGTCAGATTTGCCGCTTTCCATTTCTCTGGTACCTCTCTAATATCTAGGAAAAATTGAAATATCATGATTAGGTTTTCTCCTATCTCCACTCTCAAGTTCTCGGAGCAATTTGGGATGCAAGCCATTTGGACTAGGTAGCATGTCATCAGGCATTATAGCTGTTCCAGTACATCCTGTTGTGTTGTCATACAGTACATGTGCAATATACTGTTAAGGGACATGTTCATACTGCCATTACCATGCCATGGTAGGTGAGTTAATGGTATAAATGTTTCACTCTGCATCTTACTGAGTCCTCTTGCAGCATGACAAATTGACAAAACCATGCTACAGTACATCCAAATTGCTTAGCTTGAGCCCAGACTGCAAGAGTTTGTGATTGTAGTGTACAAATAAAAGGTCATTTAATTCTTCAGTACTACATGGCTCACTCCATGTTCATATGTTACAGGAGACAACAGCAGTATCACATCATGATAGGTGACAATCAACTTTCACATCAAGTCAAAGCACATCCTGCCTGTCAAATTTGCATCGCCTCCATTTCCTCTGCCACTTAAGCTGACATTTTGTCGGCGTCCTCTTCCTTCATAAACACCGATTTAAAACAAAACTAACTTTGCCCTACAGCTATAAGAATATCATCCTTCGGTCCTTAATAATCCCCAGCTCCCGCTATGCCCTGCTTACCATTTACATAAACAGAACATTTTTGTCAACTGCCATTCTATTTTCATATTCTATCTTTGCCAATTTTACTTTCCTCTTCACTTCCCCTCTTAACCAGAATGGAGAAGATCAGGGTCTCTGGGTGTGACCGAACGGACTGAAGCTCTTTCCTCTAGGAAAGAGAAAGCAAAGCAATAAAAATTGAAAGGTTTTAATAGAGTAGACAAAATAATAATGTTTCTACTTGGGAGACCAAAACGAGGATCCTTGAGTATAAGACAGTCACCAATAAACCCAATTTGGAATTCAGGAGAAACTTCTATTTCAACATACAGAGTGGCAAAAATGTAGAATCTCTTCCAAAAAAAAGTTGAGGCAAAGAATAAAGCTGCGTTTGAGAGAAGGTGAGATAACAAGGTGTAGAGCTGGATGAACACAGCAGGCCCTTCTTCAGGTCTAGGCCCGAATCCTGCTCCTCTGATGCTGCTTGGCCTGCTGTGTTCATCCAGCTCTACACCTTGTTATCTCAGATTCTCCAGCAACTGCAGTTCCTACTACCTTTGAGAGAAGATGGATGTCAAGAAATAGATATCGATTAGACAAAACATAGGAGAAGGTTCATGGGGAAGAAAAGTACCAAAGACCATCTGAAGCAAATGGGCTATTTCTGTGCTGTAGATGGTGATTATTGAGGAACTATCACAGACTGCCCTTCCCAGTGGAGAACCATATGTCTTTTGCTCAATGGCTCCAGAATTTTTAATCAAGTGTCAGGATTTAGTGTTGCAGAACTGGTGAAGCCCATGTCACTTCTGTTGAGAGAGTTGGTGGGGATGAATTCCCATTATCAGGCCCTTGCTGCCCATATCTTTTTAACAGGCAGTTATCCCCGATGCCAGGAATCAGATGCATATCCTGTCACCTGTTTCTCCCACTTTCCCCCCACTATCATGCCCACATGGATGCCATTAAATTTCATCCAGGGTTTCATTTGAAATACAGTTAGTGCACATAACATCGCAGAGCTATCAATTTCATCAGGATGGCAGGAGTAGTCGGGGTGTTTGAAATAATATATAAAGACCAGGTTGCTGACACAAGTTAGTAAAAGCATTATATGGAGTAACAGAAAACTTTTACATACAGAGGATCTTGATGCCATGCCAGAAGAGCCACTAATGTTTGTTAGAGAGCTTGCGATTGTCCCATGTTTGTCCATCTGGAAGCTGTTCTCCAACATGGAGTCTGCATCATCATTCTATAGAATTCCATAATAAATCATGTGTTGTCAATATCAACATAACTTAAGCTGTAAGTAAGAGCATGTAAACTCAAGGACTCTGAATTACTGAAAATTGAAGTTCAAGTTCTGAATTTGGAAAAGCAAGTTACAAATTATAAATAATACATCAAAATAAATAATTTAGTACAACTCAGTCTAATTGGGACGGTTTCTTTTTTTTTAAGAAAAGGCCATATCCTTCCCATTTTGAAAACCATTCCTACAACCTACACTTCATTCTAAATAGGAGACTGTTTGACATTAGATCATTCAGAACTCCAGTTTCATCCCACCAATTTTTATTTAAACATTGATTAAATAAAACACCTCTGAATCCCTGTCCACATATACACATTATCTTCATTAATCAGAGTTCAATAATTTACGACAACAGCTCTCATGTCAATTACACTACTCTAGCATTATTTTGTTTCTAAACATTACAAGATAGAGTTTACCAGCTGTCTGGAAATTGCTTAGAAGGCAGAAGTCCTCGGAAAGCAAGTCTGGCATCTTCACACCACCAGGAAATATTCTCAGGTAGCCAATTTAACCAAGTGAGCTGTTAACGAAGAGTCACTTCCTGTTCCTAATATTTTACCAGCTTCATGTGTGGATATCACCATGTAAGGTGACCATAAGCTGATGCATGGCAGCTCCTGTGTGATTCCTGGGGAAAGGGTGTGCTGAAGTCTCCTTCATGGGTGCATAATGGCCCACAAAGGAATCACTGGCAGCAATTGCTACTTTTGTGACTTTGGCAACATTGCTACAGGATACAACTCCTCAGTTACCAGTCCGTGCCTAGTTAGCATAGATGCAACCTCCTCTTCTTCCTGTTGCCCCTTAGCAGTGGTCACGTCAATTGGCAGATCAGCAGATCCTGTTGAGTGTGTGTCGCCTGTGAAAGGCTGCCCAATTTCTGCCATGGAACTACACAGCATCAAGTTCCACTTTCAGTCTTTTCCAAAAATTCCAGCCTGCTTATTTCTACCCAACAACAGTAATTTATAACTAAAATCTACAGTTAATATTTATTTTAAGGATTTCTAAAAAAAAAAGAAAAGGTAATATTTATTAATTCTGTGTAATGGGCACAATTTTAGGAGGTCACAGCCCATTTTTGCTTTGTGACCTCGCCCAATTCAAATAATTTAAATGTCATGTTCTACAAGGAATTAGTAAAACCACTAACCATATAATTGTGTGTCAGCTAAAGATTAAAGCTTGTTTACACGTAGCAGTGAAAGCACTCAAATGTCTTTAAGTCATGTTCTCAATGTTTGAAATTGAAATTAACTGCAATGTAGCACCTTTGGCTGGGTACCCATTTTAGGTTACTTTTGCTAGAGATTAGTTATAAACTCACCACCTGTTCAGAAACTTCAAACTGTGGCTTCTAAAATATGAGAGAATATATTAAGAAAAAACAAATTGGACAGCTGTGATGAAACTTAACTGTGTTGAGAAGTTATTTGTTACCAAGCATTAAATGACGCAGACAAGGACAACAAATAGCAACCCAGTTCATCTTTCATATCTAAGTGGAGGATTTGATATAACATTAAATCTAAAAACATGTGATCTGTGATTGTGAAGCGCACAAGTGTTTGCGGGTAGGTGTGCGGAGAAAACAAATAGATGGGATAGCAGGTTGGAGGCCAAAGGCATCTTCTTAGTATACAAAAGTGACCAAAGGAGGGACGATACCTTATCAATTCAGCAGCACTCAACTCTTGAACTGTTGGATATCCCAACCTGAAAACACCTTCCAAACCTGTGACTTTTACCATCTAAAGATCAGTTGTAGCAGACACAAGAACAAAACCACCTGCAAGTTCCCGTCAAGGCACACACCAACATGACGTGAACTATATTACTTTTAACGTTGTCAAAAAGTACTGTGGGTGTAGTTACAACACATGGACTGTTGTGGTTCAAGAAGGTAGCACACCACCACTACCACCATCACCTTCCAAGGATAACTAAGAATGGGTAATAAATTACACAGGCAATAATGACCTTAAAATATAGGAGCAAAAGTATGCCATTCAGCCCATCAAATATGCTCTTCCATTCAAAGAGATCATCTGATAATCCTCAACTGCACTTTTCTGCCTTCTTCCCATACCATAGCCCTTGATTCCCTTACAGATTTTTAATCTGTCTCACAATGATGCCCATATCCTGTGAATTAATTTAAAAGTGATAGTGATGAATTTTAAAAAACAGACTCCAATCTGAACAGAGAATTCAATTTAAAAATATTAATGAAGTCTCTTAGCTCCTTGGTGTGATGCTCAAGGTTCCCAGTAATCATTGCTGCAATGGTACCATCTTCAAGACACACATTGAAAACTAGCTACTCCCACCTGTCATAGGGATGTTTAACCTTTAGGCACTGTTCTGTCTACAAGTCACTGTTAACCTACATAACTACAGAATGTGAGACAAAAGTGGCCTAATTCAGATTAATGAAAGCCAAATTACTGAATTTACCCAAGAGCAAAGTAACCAACCATATCTTCCTTACCTCTGGAAATGCAGGTACTGACTTACTCAGCCGTTTCATTCTTTTTGACTGTAAAGATGTGTTTTCTGGGGTTGTTGGAATATTGGAAACTAAACAAGTATAAACAGATATTAATCTGAATATATTCAAAAAAATCATTTGAATGAAGCAGCAAATGAAATACTATTACAAACAAAAATTTCTGCAACCTACAACATTAAAGTTACAGTACAGTCCCAAAATCCAGCCAAAATAAGAATCAGCAATCATGCAGAGGTAGCCTTCTTGTTACCCCTGTAAACTACTTCAAACCCTGCATATCAACACATCACCTCCATTTCTCCAGCTGACTTTGCCAATACACATTGTATTTAAAAAAAGAAACTAGAACGAAGTATTTAAGTATTAAAGACAGAAAGAGACAGCGAGAGATCAAAAGTGGGAGCATGATAACGCATTGCAGTCACTTATGGATAACTTATTAACACTGTAGTTTCATACTATAAGTCTGATATGTCAACATGTTATTACAAAATCATACAACACAAAACAATGTAGTTACCATTATCAGCACTGAGGACCATTTCTTTGCTTGTAGTATCTAAGGTACTTGGCACTGTTTGACAAACAGAAGAATATCACATTTCAGTAATACAATCAAATTGACACGTGAAAATGAAACATTAAAATTTAAAGCAACTGGATTAGCAATGATGTTTTGAGGCACAAAATAAAACAAACATGTCTGAGCCAATTGTCACTCATTTCACCAAGAATCCCACAAGAGGAACAGAATGATATTGCAGCTTTTGGCCTTTGTAAAAAATAATCATCACATCAGTTATTGCACGAGATATTTACTTTTATAGATTACTAGTTTATGATTCTTCAGCTTCGCGTGTGCGGTCACTATCCCCAACTTGAATTTTATTAAAATAAAATTTGTATTGAAATTGCCTTAATGATAAAGAGTTCAGAGATGCAAATTAAATTAAATGTGCTTAACTTAGATATAAAATTGCTCCCAACATTTGCTCCCATTTTCCAACTGAGGCATTATTAAAATTTACTGTTTAAAAAATGGAAAATAGAAATGGGAAGTCAGCAGTCTAAAAATAGAAATATACAAATTTGATAATCTAGATACAGAGTAAGACTTTATTTATTGTATAAATTTTTCACATGGTCAAAGACATAGATTAATGGAATTAAAGTTTTAAGGAGGACAGAACAGTTGATCAATTAATGCACTCACTGCTTGAGATGACATTAATATCTTGCAGACTCTTGTAAGTTTCACTTGTGCGCGAATTTCTTTTCAAAGCTAAATTCGACCCCTCTTCTTCCTCACCTGTTAGAAAAGGAAACACAATGACAATTTAAAATGCTACATTTAAATAATCACTTCGCCACATATTGATCAAGAGTGATCAGGATCTTATTTTATCTCCATGTAGGATTTTCTGTACTCAAGTGGTTAAAAAGCATTTTGCCACTATAAATCACATTACATTGCTAGCTTAGATATACCACTAGTCAGTTTCAGCAATACAACCAGTGCTCTTAAATCTCCAACAGTTAATGTCTACAGTACAGTAAAGTCTAAGAATTTCAATCACAGTTGTAGGATGGTGGTCCAACAATTACTCTGCTCCCAGGTGCATAGCTGCTTGTCAGCATTATACCATAATAGAACAGCCAAGATGGAAAATTCCAAGAGAATAGCAAATTCAAACAGCATCCCTCATTTTGATATTCCAAAATACCATCATAATTTAGTTTCACCTTATTTAGTTGACTTTAGAGCTGATGCAGAATAGATGAACTGAATGTTATTATCTCTACTTTACAAAAGCACTAGCTTACTCATTTAGCAAGGTTTCAGGGCACAGGATTTTCCAAAGTTTACACTGGTACCATGTAATTAGCATATATGCTTGTGCCATACGTTATATAGTTATGCTTATATACTAATACTTGGAGTGAGAGAAAAGTGCAATGCTTCATATCAATATTATGTACCAACTGACTTTTCCTTATTTAGATGTATCTAATGGAGGGGATCTTTCTGGAACATTGGACAAAGATTCTTAGAAGCAGGTGAATGCAAGACGATTTCAATAAATGCCATTGTTTTAGGATTCATCAGTCCAGGTACTAAACTAGAAAGACACAGTGGCCCAAATTTTCACAAAAACAGAACAGCTCAATGAATACGGTGCCCAAGCTGCAAATCCAGTAGTAATACCCTAATTTCCACACTCATCAATTTGAGGGATTTTAAGGGTAGACTTAAATGTACGCAAAAAGCAGATAAGGACTGTACAGGGTTAGCAGAGACAAGGGATCGCTTGACTCTGTGGGCCCAACTTGGGAGAGAAAATTCTTCACCTTATGGGACAAGATCTCAATGTACCTATTTCTGTTTGTTTTTTAATTTAAAAATAATTATTGGAATTTAGGTCACAATGTGGTTTACTGTGTGGAAGATAGAAGGTTCATAAAATCAACAGATGGTGAAACCAGGCATTTTACCAAATGAAGGGAAAAGGACAGTGAGACAAAGGAGGAAATATTTTAAACATTTGGAAGGCAGGTTGCCATGCTGTCTTCTCAACAAACCTACTAGCAGATTACTGTTCACAGGCAAAGAAATGGTCCATGACCCAAATTTGTACAGTGGGAGTAATGCACTGCTCTTTTTTCTATGTAGCATTAAGTTTACTGGAATACAATGCAGTCAATTTGGTTGGTTGTGAAGCAGAAAATGTGTTGAAAAATAATTAAAATATATCCTGGATTAAAAATCTGCAGAACCTACCTGAACCCCTTCCTTCAACAGTACCAACCACTCACTGTGAAGAAACCTGCTCTCAAAAAGATCTAATAATTTCTTATGATGTGAATTTCTCTTTTCCAAGTGTCAGCCTGAACTTGGCATCAAGTCAAAGGGATCTCCAACAGCAGTCAGGTCATCAAGCAGAGTAAGCAGCCAATTTCATTGAAGTATTCTCATTGGCAGCAAACCAAGCAGTCCACAGAATTTCAGATTATGCCAATTATTATTTTCACCTGAATGTGAAATTCAAGTGGAAGCCAATATATCATAATTCTCCTTTTTTTATTTTGCAGGTGGCAGTCACACCATTTAGGAAAATATCTTCTGATTTGGTCAGGAACAGGAACGTGTGATTGTGACTGAAGCAGATAATGGGACCCAGAGGATTGAATGATCAACCTCTGCAATTGTCCAACAGATCTGAGGTTCTGCCCAAAATGTTTGGATGAGCAGGTGCTGCAGGGTAGATGTGCATCTCAGAACTTGTGTGTTTTATGTCCTGTCACTAAGCATTATTTTGTCTTCATGTGAGGCACTTTGCAGATCTCTAGACTGAATTTTATCTGCCTTCCTACTGCCAATTTCCAAGTACCTGTTAATCTGCCTATAGCTTATTTGTTCATTCAAGTTTACTACCTTCATTAGCTTTGTATTATTTGTAAATTTAACCACTGTTTGTGACTCTGAGTTTGAGGTCAATTTTAAAAGATACTCAACAGCAAAAACTGTTTTCAAAAATCTGATTCACCCTAATTATATTGAAGGGAGTTACAATTGTACTTGGGCACGGTTATAGTTGCATGGCAACATAAACACATTAGTTTTTCATTCCTGCAACACAATTAGAAAATGAGAACGTATTGCATAGTCTGATAAAAGTACGTAAAAATTGTGTACGATTTCAGAAAAGAAAATGATGCCATAATATCCACATATATACAGAGATAAGAATTGCTATTCCTGGCATTGGAAGTTGTGTTGCAAATGTAGCACAGCTTCAAACTACTACACTAACTAGCTAATAACACACTAAATTCCTTCTTTAGAATATTTTTCTGCAAAAGCATTTAAAGTGGTTTAACAGTCTATTTTTACTCTATAGGCATTTAATAAAAAGACTGAGATTTGCTCACATAGCACATCTCAAATCATCCCAAATTGCTTTAAAGACAATATTTTGGAATCGTGTTATTTTGCATGTGTACATTTCAAGATCCCACAAAGGTTTATAGCAACAATATTGATGTGTTTCTACAAAATAAGATTGTTTGATGGAACAGTGTTAGCTACAAAACTGAGGTTCATCTAGACAACAAAGTGTGGAGCTGGAGGAACTCAGCAGGCCAGGCAGCATCAGAGGAGCAGGAAAGCTGACGTTTCGGGTCGGGACCCTATTTCTGAAGAAGGGTCCTGAACTGAAACATCAGCTTTCCTGTTCCTCTGATGCTGCCTGGCCTGCTGTGTTCCTCCAGCTCCACACTTTGTTATCTCTGACTCCAGCATCTGCAGTTCTTGCTATCTCAGTGAGGTTAATCTGTTCTTATTGTAACAATGCAATGGGATTTTTCAAAGTCTGCTTAAATCAGTGGAAGGTAAGATAGGTAAGTCTGCAGTTTGTCTTATTTTAAGGAAGCACAGCGCAAGAGTGTGCAGTAACATCTAAGTTTTACACTGAAGTATCATCTGAGTCAAGCCCTAGAGTATTCTTGACCCTATAACCTTCTCACCCAGAAGCAATTGAAGTACTAAGCCAGTCCCATATACTAATACCTGGCCAGAGCAAATTTATAAAAACGTTGTTCAGTTTCAAAATCACCATCACCAAATCACTCATGATTTGTATTACAAGCAATCATTTCACATTCATTTAACAGGAGGAAACAGGTGAACCTCTGTGACACCATGGCAAATCAACAGGAAAGCATGATTATTCCGGATTTGAAACCAGGCTAGCATAGGGTTGCACTGATTTGTCTGGAAATGTAATACTACCGCAGAGTAGCCATAGTTAAACCAGTTTCTACAGTAATCAAGAGATGATTGGTGGAAATACATAAACAGATAATCAAGATCAAAAGTGGATAGAAAACTTAAATCGACCAAGGTGGTTTTGGGGGGGCGGGGGGGTGGTGAAGAGAGGAAGGAATAGAATAACCCACAATGCCAATAGAAACAAACGAATGCAGATGCTCACTGAGTGAACTTCTCCAGGTTTCAGCATGTAAGTGGTTACTTCCTCTTGAATAGTTTTTTGGTGAATCGTCTTGATCAGAGTTGTCTAGTGCACCTGCCTTGAAACCTTCCATGGATTTTTTGGTAGGACTATCACCATTTTCCTTGAAGGTGTTTGTCTTTGTAATTCCAGATGGAAGATTTAACTCAGTTTGAAATTGGTCTTGCAAGTCAAAACCTCTCTCATCCTTATTTAAATCTAGTCCTAGGTCTTCATTATATTTAGAACCTTTGTTAGTTTTAATAGATGATAATTTATCTTCTTGAAAAGACACATCAACTGTCTTCAGACTACTGTGGATCATGCTGTCCAATGACTCAGATGTGTACAATTTCTTTTGTGGAATGTCATTTTCCTCTACAACAGGGGAACATCCTGCAAATAAAGTAAGATTTTCTTCATTACTGTTCACTTCTTTTGACGACTTTTGTCTAACCGATGAGTTTACATTTTGAGAAAATGATCTATCAGTTGGTTTTAGAACATTTGGAATTTGGCTTTGTAATCTCTTTTCTGAAATATTGTCATCTTTATTATTTCCAATTTCGCTAAAAGTATTTGACCCTCTTTGCAAATTTCTTTGGTTTATATCTTCCAAAATAGATTGTGAATTAGTCATTCCATCAGCTGATTCATCAGCGCTTAGTTTGAAAGTCTGGTTGTCTGACTGCAAAATTCTCTCATGTTTATGCTCTTCCTCAGCAGGTGAAGTTTTATTTTCATCTTTTTCCTGATGTCTCCACTGCAATCCAATGTTCAAATTATTTGACTCCTCTGATTTTGGATCACAAATCATTCTCTCTTGAGCAGTTGCCTCTACTTCAGGGAAGTGTTTCTGGAAAGTACTTGAAGTAGGCCTAAGTTCATTTCCATTTAAGGTATTATTTGCAGTCTTCAATTTTAATTTGATCTCTGTAGGGAGAACCTTGGGAAAATATTTGGTGTTCAATCTTTTTTTCTCAGTTTGAGTTTCTCTCTGTTGAAGTATCTGTTGCATTCTTTCTTGGACACTTGGTCCACGATACTCCTCGGTTTTCATACTTTCATTTTTGGAAAGATCATCAGGATAATTAGTTATCAAAGGTTTTGCTTCAAATAGCACTTTTTGTTCAGTACTTGTTGCCATCTTCAAGGTCGAATGTTTGTCATCTAATGTTTTTGTGAGCCCCAATTGAGCATCAACACTGTTAGTTCCTTTATCCCAGAAGTTTCTTAGATTTGTGAATTGTGAGGGATTATGATGTGGATCATCTGAGGTGTTGCATATTCTTTTCTTGATTGAAATGATAGTGAAAAGCTTTTCTTTTGCAGGAATTTCATTAGTGTCATTTTTCTCCAAGTGGAAATTCATCTTAGTTGAATTTTCATCATTATTCAATGATTGCTCCAAATCTAGGGTTTTAACATGAATTTTATCTTGTAAAGCACCGGTTTCTTCATCATTCTGCTCAGGTGGACTCTTTGTTTTTGTTTTGCTCAGAGTTGTGTTTTCTGTCAAAGCTGACTGAACATCATATATGGGTATGTGTATATTTTCATTTGATCCATGCCTTGCTTTTTCCAAGAAAGGACTCTCACATGTTGTAGTTATGTGCTCATTTCCATCAACAGATTGCTGATTTTTGTTTTTGGTGGAATCTAAATCTTTTTCTACTCCATTGTTGAAAAACATAGAGTTCAAACTTGCAGTACTTGTTGCATTAGATCCTTTGTTTGCTGATTTATAATTAGATGACTTAATATTAATGGTGTCTTCATTCTCAGTTGACTTTCTAAACACTGCATTGGCAAAACTATTTTCCTGGTATGGAGTTCTGTGTTTTGAAGAAAGTTCTTGAACAGCAGGAAGTGCATCCTCTGTTACATCATTGACACCAGTCACTTGTGCATTATTTTTATTAGTAGCAACAAGTAAAAAGTCAACATTTTCTGAAGTTGCTGGAGTGACTTCTGACTCTCCATTGGCATTTGCATTTGTTTCAACCCTCTCTTTTTCAGAAACTAATAGTCCTTGTTCGAACTCCTTATCTCGCTCCAGTCTAATGTGTTGCTGTTGATTATTGGAATGTTTAACCATGTTCTCCAAAATTGTATAAGTATTCTCAGAACTATTTTTTGTTCTTATTTTACTTTTCTCCTCCAGTACTGTTGCTTCTGGAATTACAGATTCATCAAAAATGTTCTCTTTTATTGGAATTTGAACTTCCTTTAATTGGATTCCTTGTTCTCCTGATTTTTGGATTTCACCATTTATGTTCTGCAGCTCTTTGAGGCTTTTTGTAAATATATCAGATTCAATATGTGAGAACTCAGTATCTGGCTTTGTATTTAATGGCAGGTTGTTCTCCACTATTGGGTCAGGTGGAGTTTCCATTTCTTTCAACCTTTCATTTACAGATGGCGTTTCTTCGCTTCTGGTGAACCAATCCAACACCTTTGATATGGATTCGTCAGCTGCTTTCATGTGCTCAATAGTGTGTTTGTCAGGCATTTGGGATTGTGCAGAGTGAGCTTCATGGCTTTGTTCTGTTGATGTTGTCTTGAAGAGGGGCACCAAAAAATTAACATGCTTACCTTGGAATATTTTTGTAGGCTGCTGATTAGAGACCTGAGGAGATTCAGGTGGAGGTATCCGCTTATCTGCAATGAAATACACAGAAATACATCATTTATTGTAAGAGAGGTAACCAAATCAATGGACTTTAAAATGGTGGCATATTTAATTATCTAGGATGAGACTAAAAATTCAAGTTGCTATTAGCAGATGAATGCTCAACGTGTTCATGACATTTATCTATTTAAGAGTTACTGACCCATTTATTTTAATTGGGTTAATGCATTTGGTACAACAGGCAGAAGGTCGCATAAACACATTAGCAATCATCTGTTGATTATTGTCAACAATTCTAAGCTATGGTTTTCAAAAACATTTCTTCCAAATAACTTTTACGGTTATATTAAATCACAAGGCAACTTATAATGAAAACTGTATTTTTTAAATGTACATCTGTTTTTCCATTTTAATAGACTACAAGAAATGCATGCTAAATAATGGATGTCAGATATGATCCAAAAGTAATTGTAATAGCAGGCTGTCAATACTGTAGATGTAGCTATGTAAAAAAACTGAGGTTATTGTTGAAGAATACAACTTCATTTTACATAATTAAAATGTATTATAGCTACCTTAAATATTATGAAAAATATAAACAATTCAATTTGCTTACATATCACCTTAAGTTAACATAAAAGGATTGCTTTCTTTGGATTCCCTTGAAAAGTTTGAGAGACCTTTAAACTATTGAAGAATAATCAAATGCCATAATTCTATTATAGGTGTGAATAATCTACCTGTAGACAAGTGCATTTGTTTTGCACTGTCTAAAATAAATCAGAAGAGACTAACTAACAACTACAATTCACAAACTGCTAAGTTTAATATAAAGAAGCCAATCAACTGTAACAAATAATAGACCACATTGGAGCATTTGGGAGGGGAAGATATGCATTAGAGAGGCATCATCTTAACAAAAATAGCCTGTCCAGCAATCCTTTTTTGTTGGGAGAGGAGAAAAGCCAAAGATGTAAATGCCCTTTGCATCACAATGCCATGAAAAAGCAAATCGATTGAGCATTTTATAGAATTTCCATATATACATTCTGATAAAGTTAGACAATGGCTTAGTGACAAAATTTTGTATTCATTTTTGAAAAGATAATGATATTAATGTTGCCAAATATAAAGTAGTTTGTTTTGAGCAGTTCCACCTAAATTTCAATAAATGGATGCCAAGTTTGATGAGAAAAAGCAGAAAGGAGAGAACTAATCCCATGTTAATCTGAGAGGAATTATTTGTCTCACCAAGGATCAACTCATTGCTAAAACAATGCAATTCTGCAATCTGCTTTGGAACCACATATCAAATTTCAGGCAACAAGTTTCAGCAATCCAGTGTCTTTCTAAGCATAGGAATCAGGGCAGTGCTATTGCTGAAAATTGATGCGGGTGGCACATAGCAGAATCTAAAATGGAGAAATTAAATTTTAACATTATCATGAAAGAGCAAATAAAACTCAACATGCACATCATACATTACACAAAAGTGTGTTTTAGGCTACCCTACATGCCCATAGAACTCTAGGCTTGTATTTAAGTCAGAGAATTTAAAATTTCCCACGACAGTAATTTGCCTCATTATCCATTATACTGCTCCAGCCAATGATGAATTGAATTTCTGATTTAACTGGCTGCAAAACTTGGACAAGATGGGCTCTAACTGCAAAGTCAGGCTTTTAGTTGGACCCTAGTAAGACAAAAGGTTTCACCTCAGATTGAAGGTACATGCAGAATGTACCTCAGTGCTGCTCCCTCCAAAGTCAGTAATTATGCATCAGACAAGAAATGCAATTTTTTTGGGGAATCCAAGTCTAATGTTTTATCTTCATCTGCTCTATCATACTGTTTCCAAAACATTGATCTTCTAATTCTTAAACATCTCTCTTTAAACATCTGTAGTTTATGTAGTTCATTAATCATTAAATGCCCTTTCAGGTCTAACTATTTTCTTGATATTTAAGCTTCAGATTATTCAAGTTTTGAAATGTTGACAGAATAACTGCCAATCAGCAAACAAATGTTATTGTTCTCAGTTGCAAGTGGTGAAATGATAAAAATGTTCGTGCAAATTATCATTACAGAAGTGTTTGTTTAGAAAATATTATAGTATTCTAACCTTCTTAAAACATATGTCTAATTGCTTTCTTTTCATTTTGACTTGTACTTTTCTCCCCCAAAATTGATTACAACAATTTCCTAGATTATTAAATTATTTTGTGAAAGAAGAAAGTTTTTTTCTGAGCAGATAAAATCACCATGTAATCATACCACCAGTAGATAAGAGAATGATTGACACAAGGCTGATTGGGATTATTTTTCTTAATAACCATCTTACCAACACTATGATAGGCCAGATTTGATGCAGAATTCAATCTCCTGCCGACTTCGTTTTCTGTTAGTACCTCACCTGTGTCCATTTCACGGACTCGATTATTTAGCTTACTAGAACCAGAACTTGCTAAGTGATTATTTGTATAGTTTGTTATATGTGAACTTGTTGCTGGGATAGACTGAAAGTCTGAGTTGGACATAACATTATCATCTTGATCCACGTTCAATGGGTCTTTCGATAAAGGAGAAGATAAATGACTCCAATCAGAAAACCCACTGGCGTCATGTGGACTTTCATCTTCACTTGCATTGTCCATGCCGTTTGCATTTCCTTCAACTGCTTCCTCAAAATAATCAGTGTCTAGAAGAGACCCTTCACCAATTTTGGAACTTCTGTTTTCATTATAAGACTCTGGTGTTGGCGATATGTTCTTTTCATCCACATTTGTCGAGAACCTCACTTGCTTCAACCTTTCAAGACTATTCGGTGCAAGCAATTCTTCATTGTCCACAACTGCATTAATCTTTGCTGGTCCTTCTGGAATGGTTTGAGGAGAGGCAGCGATCTTGCTTTTCGAGTCCTGAACACTGACGAGTAAAATTTCAGAATCGTTGGAACTTGAACTTGGGCTATGTTTCAAAATACTTTTCTTAGGAGTGGTAGAGTTGCCATTAAAACCATTTCGATTCACGAGTCCTGGTGCAGCATGATGTTGACCACCGTAGGCTGTACGGTCTTGCAGTTTATAAGAAATAGTCCTTGGTTTTGGCACTGGGTGCCTTTCTGAATAAATACCATCCTCTGCAAAAGATGGTTTCTTAGTTTCAAGAAATTCATTTGAGGAAGTATGTAATCTGGAAACATTATCCTTTGGCTGAGATAACTTCTCTGGAAGAAAACAAGGGTATACAAGGGCAAGGATAAAGGCAATTTTAACAACTACAGCACAGAAACTAAAAGCAATTTACATCCAAAAGGTTATACATTTTAGAGATTAACCTTGATATACAATTATTTTAATCTTATTAAAAAGCAATTCAATCTCAAAAAGTAGTATTTTCTGAAACCTGAAATTCAGATAGAAAGAACAGATAATACAAATAAAATTTATAATATATGGAGCAGTTATCATAGAATCCCTACACAGTCGACACAGCCCTTCGGCCCAACAAGTCCACACCGACCCTCAGACATCCCACCCAGATCGATCCCCCTATAACCCACCTAATCCACACATTCCTGAACACTATGGGCAATTGAGCATGGCCAATTCACCTAGCCTGCACATCTTTGGACTGTGGGAGGAAACCCACGCAGACACTGGGAGAACATGCAAACTCCACACAGTCACCCGAGGATGGAATCGAACCTGGGTCTCTGGTGCTGTGAAGCAGCAGTGCTAACCACTGAGCCACCGTGCCACCCAGTTATAAAAGAAAATCTATCAACCATAATTTGTTATTGTTATTTCTATCCATACATTACCTCCAATCAGTCATGGTGTCGGAAGCACAATAGTGTATTAGTAAACTGAAAATCAGATTTAACATTAAACTGTAGAACTTAGATTTCAAAACTTCAGCTATTTCAGTGGTCAACTGACTTTCAGACAAACAGAATCAATTCAATTGTATTTTTAAAGAGAGTAGGGTTCATCTAAATAATAGCTATTTACATTTAGAGAAAATTAAGAAAATATAACCTTAGAAAAACAAGTGAAACATTTAAAGCTAAACTGCATAGCCCCAAAAAATATAAATTAACCTGTACACACTGATTGAAATGTTTCAATTCACCAGGCCACTTCACTCACCTCTTGGAAATTCTCAATCATGGTTCACTCTTAACAAAGGCTTCCCTGTACTCGGAGCCTAGGCATTACTACTGGTCTCCCACCCATATCTCATAGCTTGCACACATTGCCAGCTATTCAAGTATATCATCACATCAGCTACGTAGACTGTGCAAAATATTTAAGACATATAACATTCTCTCTTCGTGCATCACCTTGTCAAAGAATCATAGAATCCCTAGTGTGGAAACAGGCCATTCGGCACAACAAGTCCACATCAACGCTCAGAGCATCCCACCCAGACCCATCCCCGTATAACCCACCTAATCTGTACATCCCTGAACACTATGGACAATTTAGCATGGCCAATCCACCTAGCCTATGCGTCTTTGGACTGTGGGAGGAAACCAGAGCACCCAGAGGAAACCCACACAGGCACGAGGAGAATGTGCAAGCTCCACACAGACAGTCGCTCGAGGATGGAATCGAACCTGGGTTCCTGGTGCTGAGGCAGCAGTGCTATCCACTGAGCCACCGTGCTGCCAAACAACATAAGCAGGACAGTCAAGGAGAATACACTACCAACCATTATTGGCAATTACAATTTTTAGCCCGTAACCACATGTGGGGCTGAAGCCACTGAAGATAATCCTCTAGTCTAATCCTTCCTCTCACATCTTATTTTCTCCTCAATCTACAATCGTCTCTGACGTGCAAATGTTGATCATAAAAGAATGCACTCCTTTAATTCCCTTCCTTCCGCTCACCTCAACCTTACCTTTACACCTTTTTCTTTTCAGATTTGTAGCAAACATAACTTG